TGGATGTTCTTTTATCCTACCCCAAATTATCTTCTCTGACATAGGGGGTATTGTAGTTGACTTAAGTGCTGTGCCATGCAAATCAACAGATGTAGCAACACTTACTGGAATTTGGCCTATGTTGTTTCCAATCGTCATTTTATCGAAGTTAACTATGCACTTCCTAGGTAGTAAGTAGTCCAATCCTAATATGCATTGGTCTTCAATGTCAGTCAAGTATACTTTGTGCCTGTTATTTATACCCATGAGCTCAATAGTTACCCACACTGGTCCCCACAACTTTGCATAATGTTTTTTCACACCACAGAGCTTATGTATGGCTTCTGGTACTCCTTTGTGATCTTGCATCTCGATACTCACAAGGTTTTGCTGAGATGTAGAATCTATGACAAAGTTGCACCTTTAGCCATCCAGCTTTCCTGTCACGTAGACACTATGTGTGCTTGCTATTTTACACTTAGCTGTTGGGACTTTCACGATAAGGGTTGGTGGGTGTCCCTCTGCACCATCCACTACTGGTTTCCCGAAGCTGACTTATTGGTGGTATTCTTCTTACACTGGCTCCTCATATGTCCTTGCTCTTCACAGTTCCAACAACCTTTCTGAGTAGCAGCCTTTCCTGCTGTGGCATCTTCCCTGTGTTGAAGTTGCCAGCATTGAGTTCTTTTGTGCCCAGGTTTGTTACAGTGCCAGCAAAGTCCCTCAAACCTCTTTAAAAGCTGCCCTTTTCTGGCCTTGAATCCTGATGATTGTACCAACCTTGGTACCTCTGTGCTGAACTTAACGTAGGATTCAAAATCAAGAGCTCTGGCCATTGCATCCTGCATAGTAGAAGGGTGTGCTTGCTTTACTTGTATCTTCAGTTGTGGGCTGTCCAAGGCCTCTACGAACTGATCTCTCAGCAACAACTTGAGACATTGGGTGGCACAGTTGGGTAGGCCTTGTGTACCATACTTTCCAAGTTCTGTGCCAGCTCTTGCAGGCTCTCCCCTTTAGCACGGACTCTCGTCCTAAACCTAGCCCTGTAGACTTTGGACTGATTTTGAGTTCCATACCTGAGTTCTAGAGCCACTACCAGTGCTCTATAGTTGTGCCTGTCGTCTGCTGACAACTGTCCAAGTATTTTCAGTGGTTGTCTCTTCAAGCTCGTTGCCTGTTTCCTTTCTTGTTCTAGTTGCCACTGCTGTTATCTCTCATCTTGTTTATTTTGCTGTTCGAGCTGCCACTGTTGCAGATTTTTTTTGACACTGCTGTAATCCTTGCCACTGCTGTAATCTCTCTTCTTGTTTCTTTTCTCGTTCTCCTTGTTTCTTTTCTTTCTCCTCCAACAACTGCTGTAGTCTCTCATGTTTATTTTGCTGTTCGAGCTGCCACTGTTGCAGATTTTCTTGCCACTGCTGTTGTCTCTCTTCTTGTTTCTTTTCTAGTTCTTCTTTTTTCTTTTCTTTTTCTTCCAACAACTGCTGTAATCTCTCTTCTTGTTTCTTTTCTTAGCGTGAATCGTTCGTTCGTTGTGAATTACAGCGTTTGTTTAAGTTATAACGTGACAGTGGAAATTAAGTGTATTGTAAAGTTGTATTGAGAAAGAATAAACTAGTTTTATTTAAGAAAGGACTTGTATCGCTAAAGTTTCTTTGGAAAGAATCTTTACAGAAAATTAACAAACGATCAGAGGGTAACAAATTAGTGTCAGAGAGTGGGACAAAAAAAAAGAAGATTGAAACGAGAGGTGGCAAATAAAATTACAGTTTAGTAGATTTGATGGCAGCAATACAAGAACAGCAAAAGAAACAAGAAGAACGAGAAAATAAACAAGAAGAGAGATTACAGCAGTTGTTGGAAGAAACTTGACTCAATTGTCGTCTCTATCTCTGTCTGCAATTCAATTCCTTTGTTGCCGTCAGTTCTTGGCGGTCTTATATACAAGAATACCGCACAACTAGTAAACACTCGAGGCTTCACGAAGGGACATCAATTTTCTAGAAGCTCATGACGTGCTACTAGCGTCACATGACTTCTGCTGTCGTAACAATATATATATATTTGTTATTGAAACAGGCATAATTCTACATATACATGTACAATAGACGTTTACTATTCCAGTCAAATATAGAAAAGTTTTAACTAACTTAAAATTGTCTCCCCTGATATTTTGGCTAAACACTGAGTTCAAAACCAGAAAGTTCTAGTTATGCAATCAACTGTGCGTTTTATCATTCCCATGAAATTAGAAGGAGCTGAGCGTGGCTTAGTGGTTAATGTGTGGGGCTACAAATCGAAACGTCAAGACTCGAGCCACGATATGCCGCTGTATACACTCTGAATTTTCACTGTGCGTCGATATAAATCTAAACCATCAAATAAAACGTAATATAAATACTACCTAAACTTTTAATTTGAGCCATCAATTAAAACCTAGAATATATGCTATATAAATCATTAATTGAAACTTGTAATATTCTATCTAAATCCTCAACTTAAACCTAGTATATATATACGCTATTCAAACTCTTGGCTAAAACCTAATGTATATGATATTTAAACTCTAAACTGAAACCTCTAATATTAAATCTAAACTATAAACTAAAACCTAAGATATATAATATCTAAACATCAACTGAAACCTAATATATATGCAGTCTAAACATCAACTCAAACCTTTAATATTCCATTTAAACTACTTATAGCTGAACAAACAATTAAAATGAATAATTTTCTTCTACATTTATTAGTGTACATATTATAATATTATAAGTAATCTTCAAGTCGAAAAACCGAATTTTCTATATGATCTTTCAATTCAAACACAGGCCCGTATGCAGAATGCTTGAAAGAAAGTTCTAATTTGTGAGATCAAAAGACAACACATATTGTGCAAATCATGCTATTGTTAAGGGGTCTGGGAGCATGCCTCCCAGAAAAGTTGTAAAAAATAGGTGCTATAAGATTAAATCTGGAAGCAATTTTGCATAAAATATAGCTAAATATTGCATGGCTGTTCACATAAATATCCAATGAAAAGTCAACAAATCATCATTCTGATAGTTTCTTTTGAGTTTACTTCCTGATTAAGCATATCTTATTACAATTTACAGCTTTTACAGTTAGTAAGATTTGTTTTGAGATCAGGTACGACGTTTCAATAACTGTTGCGATCATTCTCAAATACACAAGTTTTAACGGTAAAAAACTTTTCAGTATTTAAATTAACATTCATCTATCCAACTATATCTAAATCCAAGAGTTGAAGTGGTTACTTATTCATGTACATATTAATCCGCGTAAATTTACAGATTATTTGTTTATGGCTAAACAGAAACAAACCTAACCAAAAATGAATAAATATACAAAAATTATGGAATATTTTACGCAAATCTGACTTACTGTAAAAGTTGTAAATTGTAATAAAATCACCTTTCTGTTGTAACATTGCATGGGAAGCTAGACTTAAATTAACATAGATATGTATGTTTTATTACAGTAAAGTACTGTACTATCTACATGCAGAGTAGTTATTAATTGTTAAATTATATTACTAATTTCAACAACACTGCACTACAATAGTAAATTACCTATTGTAATCAGGGGGAATCGTATAGGGGTTTCGGCTGAACCTCCTCGACACTCACCCTCCGCCCCCTGCGTACGTTCATCAAATTCTAGTCTTGTTATAAAATCGAACGAAACATCAAATATTTTGAATTATAATTTCATTTGAAACAACTGAATTTCTACCGAAACAATAAACTAAAACCTACAACATGTTCGTTCTGCGTATTCCTAAAATAAATATTTTAACTATACTTTCAATTGAAACCCATTATATCTCGACTATAACATGTAACGAAAATCGTAGTATTCAAATTAAACAACGAAGAGAAAACCTAAAATTTGTATATCCTACACGCAAGAAAAATTATTCACTGAAAAACTCTAACTTAAAGCAACTAAAAATGCCAATTAAAATCCTGTAAAACTTTCATTTTTAACCAAAGCATTTTAACGTGCAAGAGATAATGAATGTTATTTAATGAAAGACTGAATTTTTTATTTCTTTTTTTTTTCGGTGCTCGGCGAATAACGTTATTTCATTCAGTGTTTAAAAAAACAGACTTCACTGGAGAAATAATTTCTAAACCTGGATTTTAAACAACAAAGACAATAGACATAACAGCCAGTTTTTATCATTCTTAAGCCTTAATATAAAATTATTATCAAATATATGTCAATTGTTTATTTGATAAATATCAATACACAAAGATACTTAACACAATATATTAAGAATAATTTCTTTTCAGGCACATTATGCTACTATATTTAGAATAAACAAATAGAAACCAACGTTTTGTGGCACAATAAAGGTAACATTTTTATTATTACTATTAGACAGTAACCTTGATGATGGTAATTATGTTACCAAAAGTAGCCGGCTGTAATTAACAATATATATTTACCTTTCATTGTGCCAAAAAAACCTCGTTTTTGTGTTTTATTGTTAATATACCAATCGTATTAAACATCCATAACCAGTAATTTCTTTAACATACACAGAACTTCAGAATATACAGAAATGTGTGATAATTATCCAAATATCTTACCTAACGGTTGCGACGTCGTTGCTTCTGATTTTGAGAGAGAAAAAACAAAGTAAAAGACAAAAATTGTCCGCCTTATAAATCTCATTATTATAGTTTTAAGTATATTTGAGTCCGGAAGCTTGTCTAACCTAGTTTTTAGTTTTAGAATTAACTTAGATGAGCAATTTAGAGACGTGATGCACAAATAACAACATTGACTCACATAAGAAGCCTAACAAGTTCAACCAAAACTTTTTTTTCAGTTTTAACTATGAAAAGCAATTTAAGATATGTGAAATACTAAGCAAAGTATGGCTGTACCCTAGAAATACAGTCTGACCAAAGGATAGCCTTATTCTTAATTCAAATTTTACGGGGATATTAAACCACTTAACATGCTACATAACAATTTCAAGAACACAGTACTAAAGCACTTCAACTTTGCTAGATAATTCATGCACGTGATCTATACAATTGCAGCAGTTAATCTACACAAAACCTCTTTTATATGTTGACCTGTGGACAATGTATTGATAAATGTAGGTGTCGCTCCTTACGTAGAGATTACACAATAGATGAACTCAAAATGTACATGATACATAGAATTAAATAGTATTATATTGTTACGCCTCTGTTTGTTCGTTTGTTAATTTTCCGTAAAAATTCTTTCCGAAGAAACATTAGCGATACAAGTCCTTTCTTAAATAAAACTAGTTTATTCTTTCTCAATTTAACTTTGCAATACACTTAATTTCCACAGTTACTTTAAACACACGCTATAATTCACAATGATTCACGCACTTTCTTACGGTCACTACCGCGCTTGACTCAATTGTCCGTCTTGATCTCTGCCTGTCTGCAATTCAATTCCAATTGATTAGTCTCACGTTAACCGGCGCACTTATATACAGGAATAGAGGGCGTCTAGCACATATTGGATTATTCGTGATGTTCCCCGATCCTTCGAGAATATCATGACGTGTTACCAGAGTCACATGACTACCGCTGTCGTAACAATATTATAGACGACCAATCGTTTTGAATATAACCCTTGACAACTTAAATACAATGATATTGAAAAATGTGACAGGCTAGAAAGTGTCTCACGAATAATTTTAACTTCAAGTTAATATTACTTGATTGTTTTGATTCTTTGATGACTTATACCTTTCGAAATTAGCGTTGATGAATAAAATTCAAATTCTCGTTGTTGTTGTTATTATTTTATACGTGGTTGTAAAGAACGTCGATTCTAACCAGTAGCCATGATATAAACTGAAGTACCGTAAGATAAGTAGCTTTGTGTTCCAGGAATTCTGGACTAATCATAGTTGATCCTATCAGCTTTGATTATTGCACTTACAGGATATGTATTAAGTCTATAATATTAATAATTTGATTATTTTCATGTGGACTTTATTGCTATCATTATAGCTTTTACAGTTACATAATACTAATAACTTAGATCATGCAATTTACTTTACACTGTTACTACTTCGAATTCTGTACAATTTGAGGTTGGTTTACGATATCGATTATTTTGTGGAAGGCCTGGCATGGTCAGGTGATTAAGGCGCTTGATTTTCAATCAGAAGATCGCGGGTTCGAATCCCCCGTCTCACCAAACATGCTCGCCCTTTCAGCCGTGGGCACGTTATAATGTGACGGTCAATCCATTATTCGTTGGTAAAAGAGTAGCCCAAGAGGTGGCGGTGGATGGTGATGATTAGCTGCCTTCCCTCTAGTCTTTCACTGCTAAAGTAGGAACGGCTAAAGCAAATAGCCTTGTGCAGCTTTGCGCGAAATTCAAAACAAAGCAATATTTTATGGCTTCTGCAAAATCTACAGTTGGTTTTAGACTATGGCATATTTTACATTAAAATTATTGTAGAATGAACTTTTGGGTAATCTGCAGTTCATTTATAGCATGCTTTCTCTCGCTAAATATAAAATCAATTTAAGTAATTCAAAAATACAATAGCAGTCAGGAACGTCGAGAGCCATGACGGGTCCCTTTTCTCTCTCTTTTTTTTTAACATTTTAAAGAATTTATTAAAAAGAAAATATTAAATTAGGTCAGCAACGAGCTCATAAATAAGGCATAATCATAGCAGCAGTCGTTTTTAGCTCACAGTATAAACGTAAAAACGTGTGTTACAGCATAACCAGGTTTCATTCGCCCAGGCCTCTGGGCAGTTGCCCCCTTTGCTACTCACCCTATCGGTGGGCCTGATAACAGCTTTTATAGTAAACAATTTTTGATTTCAATAATTATATACAACACTTCGACTCAGTTTCTAGTTCATCATCAACTATGGGACAAAGAGTGGCGATTATTAAAATCAGAATTTGCCTAGTGTAAGAGTTAGAGTTATTGTATTTTTGAATTGATTACTTAGTTCAGTAAATTGATAACTAAATATTAACATAATTAGCTTTTTGGTCAATGTTATGCATTATTTTTATGTTGTTCAGAATATGATCAACTTTCTGTTACTATTATCCAAATAGCTGATTCTGAATATTACTTTCAAATTAAATAAAATCATTTGATCGAAAGTTAGTTTCGTATATTTATCAATAGAATTAAACAACGAAAAGAAGTAGAGAAAAATGCTTTGTAGACTCTTAATAAATGTATTTATTTTGAAACGTTTCGGCCCACTTCAGGCAAAGAACAAAATACAACTGAGTGAAGTGTAAAATTTGTTGGAATTAGAACATAAACGAGAGACACGCAGGCGCAGAATGAGGCAAGTCGATAAAACGTATCAAAATATAGATAAAACATTGCTAGCCAAGTATAATATATATATCTATGTGTGTGTGTGTATATATATATATATATATATATATACCTCCATTCCCATACACTGTTTACATCTTATACTTATGCTCGTATATTTCTGTTTGTTTGTTTTAAAGCAAAGCCACATTGGGCTGTTTGCTGTGTCCACTGCGTGGAATCGAATCTTGTTTGTAAGTCCGCAAGCTTACTTTTGTCCCATAAGGGGACCTTATATTTATATAAAATCCTATTGCAGTATTTTACCTCTTGGAATGGATATAAACATTATAATTGTGTCCTGCGAAGCTATATGAGTTGTAGGTTTTAACAGTCAAGGGTTGAATTGTGTTAATAATTTCAATGTTTTACAATATGTTTCGTGGCTAAGGTTTTAATGTTATACATTAAACAAATTTGATATAATTCATTGAATTCTTCTTGTTTTTTTCGTTGGATTAACATTTTGTTGTTGCTAGTGGACTAATCTCGTTATGAGATTACTTTCGCCAATTTCGTAAGGCTACACAGAGTGAGAATGGTCAAAACAGTGTTAATTAATCATTGATATATGGATAACAAATCTATCTTTGCTTATTTTTTAGAATTCCATTGTAAGTGTGTATTGCATTTCACCAGCCTAATCCAGTGCACCCCAAAACATTTGTTGTTCAATCACATTGTCAATATTGTTACGACAGCAAAAGACACGCGCGCTGGGAGCATGTGCGCTGGAGTTTCTCGAAGAATCATGAAGGCCTGAGTGCATTCGAGACGCCCTCTTTTTAGCATATAAGCCTGGCAAGAAAAACCAGCGCGATTGGAGATATAGATTGAAGAGATAGATAATTGAGTCAAGAGATCACTGTGATTTATAGCGTGTGTTATAAAGGTGGTTAAGTTTAAAGTGACTGTGGAAATTCTGTGTATTACAAAAAGTTGTATCGAGATAGAATAAACTAGTTTGAATTAAGAAAGGACTTGTATCGCGGAAGTTTCTCGGAAAGAATTTCTAGGGAAATTAACAAACAAGCAGATGCGTAACAATATAAAAAGCGTCGCAACAACCACTAAGCCTATCTTATTCCAGCGTCCCTGAAAGGCCTATTGGGCAAAAGTCCTCGTTGGCACTAGATATAGCAGAAACGGCGTGGTTAGTGAATAATTATATACTCTTATTTAGTTTCACTTAGAAGTTCTTATAATTGGTTACGTTAACCGTGTAACGTCAAGTTCTACAAATAAAATGTTTTGTTATTGTAAGTAGACTGAACTTTGTATCATTATTTTTAATGCATAATCCAAAAGAAATGCTCAGCAATAAAAGTAACTAGAGGGAAGGCAGCTAGTCAACACTCTCACTACAATCCTACAGAAGGACAAGTCAGAAAACAACCCAAGAAGTGAACCATATCTATTTTACAGAAGGACAAGTCAGAAACAACCCAAGAAGTGAACTATATCTATTTTACAGAAGGGCAAGTCAGAAACAACCCAAGAAGTGAACCATATCTATTTTACAGAAGGGCAAGTCAGAAACAACCCTAGAAGTGAACCATATCTATTTTACAGAAAGGCAAGTCAGAAACAACCCAAGAAGTGAACCATACCTATTTTACAGAGAGGCAAGTCAGAAACAACCCAAGAAGTGAACCATATCTATTTTACAGAATGACAAGTCAGAAACAACCCAAGAAGTGAACCATATCTATTTAAGAATATTTTTCACAAACAGTTTGACTTTCTCCTTTTTAACATCTATCACGTCCAGAGCCAGTAAACTAGGGGTTTTCCTAGTGTGCAGTAGATCAGAAATTGTGCACCTGTAAAAATATTTGTGCAGTTGAAAATTCACTTATATAAGTAAGTTCAAGTTGATAAGTATTAACAACATATTTAAGATTATAAAATTCCATTCCAGAGTTGATAAATAAATAAATATATTTACTAGAATATTCTTCATTTTTTGTATCATTTGTTACTAGGCCTATATATAAGAGGTACAATAAGGCGTTATGTATTAAAAAATGATGAACTTGAAATATAATTGTGCAATTGAAAAAATCTTTAGGAAAAGATCTGCAGTAAGCTGAAAAAAGGTTAGAGTTTCTTTTGAAAGTTGCATTTCCAAGTCAATAATGACGGAGTCTGAATTGCCTTTGGAACTATGAAAGGTAAATCGAATTTAGTTAGAAGCTCACTGATGCGACAAAAATGCCAGAGAATTCGTCATTATTTTTTGCACATTGCTTCTTAAGATCACCAAGAAGATCTGCCACAAGAATATCAGCAATTGTGGGGTTCAGGATCTTTTTTTCTTAAACAGTTGACTTGGAGGTAATGTCAAGGAGAAGATGTGAAGCAAACAGTGAAATGACATTAAAACTTTGGTAGAGTTCATTGCAGAGTGTAATGTTTTGATCGTAATTCCATTTAAAGATTTCTTCCAGTTGATATGTAATCCAGAGCTTCCTTTGGTCATAGGAAAACTGCATTACAGGATAATGTCACTCAGTCTATTTTGTCTTGTATAATCCAATGACCTGACCTTTAAGAACTTTCCTTAGCACGTAATTCCGTGCCTTCACCCTCAGTTGTTCAATGGTAAGTCAGAAGGCTCACATTACTAAAGACTGGGTTTCG